CTACTGACGTCGACACACTCCACAGATCTGCAGGACACCCCAACCTTAAGCCTTGAAAAGATGTTCCCACCATACGGGCGTCCAAAATCAACTGCGAAGCATGCTGTCTATCGAAATCCCACCGCCTTTCCTTCCCGGGAACTCTTCCCGTCGCAACTCGCCCTCTTGAATACGTCTACATGGATCTTAGCGGCAGAATCAATCCACCATCTTTTGGAGGTAAAGAATACTACTTCAAAATTACAGACTACTATACCCGCTATCGTCATGTGTATTTACTCTCAAAAAAGTCCGAAACATTTTCATTCTTTATGCAATACTACAATGAAGTTACAAATCACCATTCCACCAACATCAAAACAGTCATCTTTGATGGAGGAGGCGAATTCAACTCGAAAGAATTCTTAGACTTTCTCAAATCCAAAGGAGTAACGGTCCAAGTCACAGCCCCGTACACCCCTCAACAGAACTCGGTAGCCGAGCGAGGCAACAGATCCACATCTGAGAAAGCTCGCTGCTTGCTTAAACAAGCGAAGTTACCCTCTGAGTACTGGGGCGAAGCGGTGTCCACTGCGGTCCTACTTGAGAACATCACCCCAATGAGAAAGCTACGATGGGACACACCACACAACAGGTGGTTCAATCATCAATTCGACGTTTGTCGACTCAAACCCTTCGGCTGTGTTGCCTACGCCAACATCCCCTCAGACATTCGCGTGGGAAAATTCAGCGATACTTCCAAAAAAGGAATCCTAGTCGGTTATCAGCTGGGGGCGCACAACTGGCGCGTCCTCCTACCAGGAGGGAAAGTGGAGCGCTGTCACGATGTTCAATTCATTGAGACAGAGTTTCCAGGAGTCTCCATCTTCTCTCCAGCTGATCCCTCCTTCCATTTCGACCCTCTCACCCCTCCGGAGTTCGACGAACTATGGGACACAGCTCCTCCTGAACATCTACCACCTTCGGCAACCGCATCCAACCTACTTCAATGGAGACAAGCCGAAAACGAGTTTGATCTCGACTCACCACCACTCGACGTTAATTCATTTTTTGATCAACCAGAATCTGATTCTAACACTAATTCTCCGCCTCGCACATCTCCTCAACAATCAACTTCAATCCCTCCACCTCGGCCAAGACCCGGTTACGACATTCTTCTCACATCCAACACCGCACCCAAAAACATCAGCTCCGACATTGATACCACCCACATTCTTCATACAAAGCGTCGGGCAAACCTCGCAATGGCTCTCTCTGCATCGGACGTCCCGAGGACCCATCGTGAAGCCATGCTTTCGTCGGAAGCCGCATCCTGGACACAGGCCGTTGACTCAGAGCTGGCTGCGATGAAGGATCTCAAAGTTTGGTCCATAGAAATCATGCCTGGCGACGAGTCTCTCCTCGGCACCGTCTGGGTTTTCCGCAAGAAAAAAGACTCTGAAGGAATTGTAGTGAAGTTCAAGGCACGACTTTGCGCACAGGGCTCCCAGCAAACGGAAGGCTTCGGTTTTACTTACGCACCAACCGGACGATCAGCAAGTCTGAGAGCCGCTCTCATCGTGGGTCTGTCTTGTGGCTACAACATCCACCAGATGGATGCGAAGAATGCGTTCCTAAACGGCAACCTGAAGGAATCCGTCTACCTTCGTCCGCCACCAGGACTCGACGTACCGAAAGGGTACTGCCTCAAGCTCCACAAAGCCATCTACGGCCTCAAACAGGCACCCCGCGTCTGGTACGCCGAGCTCAAAAGCTTCTTCGAATCCATCAACTTCACTCCTTCTCCAGCAGACCCGTGCCTATTCACATCTAATGTCCCACATTGGGAATGTTTTGTCCACGTCTATGTGGATGACATGATCATAATTAGTCACGACGTTGAACGGTTCAAGAAATTGATCTCCGAAAAATTTCGCATGGAAGATCTAGGAGAGGCTCAACATATCCTCGGCATCAAACTCACACGCACCTCCAAGTCGAAACTTCTTCTGAATCAGGAATCCTACACGCAATCCATCCTTGACAACTATGGCATGAACGACTGCCGAACCACCTCGACTCCCATGCTGGCTAACACTTGACTGATCAAACCGACTGATGCCGAGCACCAATCCTTCCTTCAACTCAAGGTCAACTACAGAGAAGCTCTTGGACTTCTCAACTATCTCTCAGTCTCAACTCGTCCCGACATCTCATTTACCGTCTCTCAACTCTCCCAACATCTGGAGAAACCCGGCATTCTACACTGGAAAGCTGTGCAGCATCTCCTACGATACCTGTCCGGTACAAAACATCACGGCATCCTACTGGATGGTTCCGGCAATCTCAACGAAATCT